CCCGCCCCCTCAGCGCCCCCAAAGAAAAAAGGATAAAGATGAAGACAATTTTAACCTATTCAGATCATTTCCTGCAGTTTTTTGAGTAGCAAAAAGATAGATACAATAGAGATTGTGAAGTCATGATACCTGATTTTAAAAGCCACCCTCGTTCTTGTTCATACTATCAGCTAAATCAAGTAGAAGTTAAATATAGAGTATCTGCAAAAAAATTTTAGGATTGTTAGTATGATAGTTTGATGGGAAACAGAAAAATCTTCTACATCTGTATACTTTTAAGAGAGAGAGTGTGTTCCACCTAGTTTTCATTTTCTAGATGAGCTTAAAAGGGTCTTGATGACCTAATTTTTATTAGTGAAATAAAAGTATCAAAATAGACAAAACACATTGAGACAGGCCATCTCACTGTGAGCACAATTTCAAATGGAAAACAAAAAGCATTACTGGCCTCGGTTACAGAAAACCAACCTGCATTTTAGATCACAAATCCAATGGGCAATGCAGTTTGCTAAAACGACGCTAGAAAGATTCACAATACTTCATGCCCCTTTCCATAGGACTGATCAAGCTTTGTTTCTTCTACCCTGTTCATACCAATCCTTCTATGCTAAGATCCGCAAGAAATAAAGCTTTAAGCTATGTAGCAGTAGCTGTACAACTTTCACTCGAATAAAAGCTATTAGATTTTGGAGCTTCACTACCTCTGACGACTCTGTTGTATATTACTTTAAAAGACTGGGAGCCATGTGGTCGACTAAGCAAACTGATTGGCATTCTCAACGTCTGCTTTCGGTTTCTTCTACCTCTTATTAAAATGCTGAAGGTTTTCTCACCATCACTCCTTCTTTCAGCACTGCCTTCAGGATTTTTGTTTGGGCTTAGATCATTCCCAGAATTGTCAACCATAGATTGATTCAAGTGACCATTTTCCAGTACACTTTCCAACCCAACTCTAGCTACTTCATTATCATTATTTATTGCCTCAGATGCTGAAATGTTGAATTCTTTCTTAGCTTCTCCCATAGTGTCAATATCCACAGGCAGCATTGGAGCTGAACTTGGTTTTGCATCATCACCTTGTATTTTAGGCTCCAATATCCGATCAGCAATTGGCTCAACAATTGGTGATGGTATAGAGAACTCCATTGGATGAGCGGGCCAAACTGTCCCAGGAATGAACTCTGGTATGCTGGGGTTCACATTGCATTGCCATGAGAACTGACTGGGGTGAAAATGGTTGCTAGTTACAGGAAAGGTGC